AAGGGTATAGTTTAAAAACTTGTCATGGGACTCCAAATCCCATTAAGCTGGATGGTAAAAATGCCATCTTAAGTGTTAAAGTGTTCATATTAAGTGCAAAGTGAACATATAGATAGGATTAAATGTTAAAGTGATCATATAAATAGTATCAAGTATCTGGTAATAATAATAGATAGAATTAAAAAGGAGAGAATGTTCCAACATGGGAAGCAGCTCACACATCAGACACATAGAATGACAATTGCTTTAAGTAAAACTCTGACCTCAGAATCTTAAGGCTTCCTGGTCTGGCTGAAAAGCCTGTTAGAGCATTTCAGGCATGGAAAGCCAAGACATTGTGGCAAAAAATGTTCTACATGAAGGATCTCTGTGAGTGAGACCCCAGTGGAAAGAAGTGCTCATCAAAGAAGGATGTACTTTTCTCTGAAGGGAGGCAAGAACTTCCACTTTGCTTATGGCCTTGTCCAAATACTGACCAAGATTGTGGATTCGAAAGGCTTTCATAGCCTAGGCAGCTCATGTCAAGAGCTTTGGGTAGTCATAGACATCATATGTAAGAGTATTAGTTGTTAAATTAACAACAGGAGTCACTATGCACTAACTCCCCATGCAGAACCTCTGTCCTCAATGAGTTGTATTATGAGAATTAACTGTAAAACTAGTTCTCAAACAGCTTTTTTTTTGGTGTGGTGCGTGTGTGTGCAAATTGTTGACATCTTTACTTAGTACAGAGTCAGTCTTCTATATACAAAGTTAATTGAAAATGAATCTTAATGGAGAATGGGACAGGCAAGGGGAGAAGGAAGAGGAGGAGGGCTGGGAGTGTGGGTGGGAAGGCAGGTATGGTGAGAAGAATGATTATATTCCTAAAGTTATACTTATGAAATTTGTATTCCTTAAAAATAAATATAAAAAATTTTAAAATTTATAAAAAATTTATTCGAAAATTAAGAGTTACACAGAGAGAGGAAGACACACCTACACAGAGAGAGGGAGAGAGAAAGAGACTGAGAGAGAAATCTTCCAACTGCTGGTTCATTCCCCAAAAGGCCACATCAGCTAGGGCTGGGCCAGGCTGAAGCCAGGAGACAGGAGCTTCTTCTGGATCTTTCACATAGGTGTAGGGGCCCAAGCACTTGAGCCAACTTCTGCTGCTTTCCCAGGAGCATTATCAGGGAACTGGGTTGGAAGTGTAGCAGCCGGGTCTCAAACCGGTGCCCATATGGGATGCCAGCGTTGTAGGCAGCAGCTTTACCCACTATAAGGCAGCCCCATATTAGAACCCTGTTAAGTGAAGTTCTTACTTGGAGTCTGGAGAGGAGATAAATGAAATGACTTTAAAATATATATATGTATTTTTGGGGCCAGCACTGTGGCACAGCAGGCACAGCTACCACCTGCAATGCTGGTACCCGAAATGGGTGCTAGTTCCTATCCTGGCTGCTCCCCTTCCTATCAAGCTCCCAGCTAATGGCCTGGGTAAACAGCAGAAGGTGGTCCAAGTGTTTGGGCCCCTGAAACCCATGTGGGACATCTGCATAAAACTCCTGCCTCCCAGCTTTGGCCTGGACCAGTGCTGGCTGTTGCAGCCATCTGGGGAGTGAACCAGTGGATGGAAGACATCTTGCTGTGTCTCCCTCTCTCTATGTAACTCTTTCAAAATAAATCAATCTTAACACACAAGATTGATTTGTATCTTTGAGACTAATGACTACAGAGAAAATCAATGGTAGATTTCTTACAAAATCTTTCTGTACCAATTCCATCAGGCCCACTGCCTCAAGTTCACCTGATGGAAAGGTCTGGGTCCAGGTTTCTGGCATGGTGAGATCACTAGTTCTCAATTTGATGGCTCCTTCCAAGTACACTCAACATACTACCAGATGCTCCACTTTTACATATGTGAGGGTCAGATCAGTGTTTGGACTGCTGGTATAGCAAGGCTACCATTTCAGAGAATGTGAGACATGATACACTGCAAATGACTAAGTATTTTTCACATCTGTCTTAATGTCATTTCCTTACAGGGAGGACTGTCCCAGAGGATACAATAATGTCTTCCCCAACTTGAAGGCTAATTCCCTGTTGTAAGCTTCCATTAATTCCCTATATTGCCCTTTTGTAAACTTTATCATACTTGTATTTTTCTAGATTTATTGAGGTATAATTGGCAAATAAAAATTACATGTTTTGGGAGAGGCGCTGCTGTGTAGTGGGTAAAGCCATCGCCTATGGGCGCCCTATGGATGCCGGTTCAAGACCTGGCTGCTCCACTTTCAATCCAGCTCTCTGTTATGGCCTGGGAAAGTAGTAGAAGATGGCACAAGTCCTTGGGCCCCTGCAGCCACATGGGAGACCCAGAAGAAGCTCCTGGCTCCTGGATCAGCTCCGGCCATTGCGGTTGTTTAGGGAGTGAACCACGGTATGAAAGACTTCTCTCTCTGCCTCTCTGTTAACTCTTTCAAATAAAATAAATCTTTAAAATAAAAAAAAGAAAACACCTTATTGAAAAACTATTTTTCTGAATTACTCTCAAGCATACAAAAAAAGCTATTGATGATGAGGCCAGCATTTTGGTACAGTGGTTAAAACCACCACTTGCAACACTGGCATCCCCATATGAGCACTTGTTTGGGTCCCAGCTGCTCTGCTTCTGATCAGGCTCCCTAATGTGCAGGGGAAAGCAGCAGAAGATGTCCCAAGTACCTGGCCACCAACTACCCATGTGGGAGAACAGGATGAAGTTCCAGGCTCCTGGCTTTAGCCTGGCTTAACCTCAGATGTTGTAGCCATTTGGGGAGAGTCAACCAGTGGTTGCACAATCTCTGTCTCTTCCCCTCTCCCTCTGCCACTCTGCCTTTCAAATAAGTAAATAATTCTTTTTTAAAAAATCACTTTAAAAAAGAATTATTTATTTATTTGAAAGGCAGAGTGACAGGCAGTAGCAGAGGCAGAGAGAGAGAGAGATAGAGAGAGAGAGAGAGAGCAGGAGCCAGGAGATTCTTCTGGTTCTCCCATGTGGGTGCAAGGGCCCAAGGACTTCTGCCATCTTCTACTGCTTTCCCAGGCCATAGCAGAGAGCTGGATCGAAAGTGGAGCAGCCGGGACTCGAACTGGTGCTCGTATGGAATGCTGGTACTGCAGGTGGCTGCTTTACCTGCTACGCCACAGCACCAGCTCACATGGTGGTGTTTTTTGTTTGTTTGTTTGTTTTTTGACAGGCAGAGTGGACAGTGAGAGAGACAGAGAGAAAGGTCTTCCTTTGCCGTTGGTTCACCCATCCGATGGCAGGAGCCAGGCACATCGCGCTGATCCGATGGCAGGAGCCAGGTGCTTCTCCTGGTCTCCCATGGGGTGCAGGGCCCAAGCACTTGGGCCATCCTCCACTGCACTCCCTGGCCACTGCAGAGAGCTGGCCTGGAAGAGGGGCAACCAGACAGAATCCAGCACCCCGACCGGGAGTAGAACCCAGTGTGCCGGCACCGCAAGGCGGAGGATTGGCCTAGTGAGCCGCGGCGCCGGCTGTTTTTTAAAGATTTATTTTATTGCTAATCCTCTGCCTGCGGCGCTGGCACCCTGGATTCTAGTCCCGATTGGGGCACCGGATTCTGTCCCGGTTTCCTCTTCCAGTCCAGCTCTCTGCTGTGGCCCGGGAGTGCAGTGGAGGATGGCCCAAGAGCTTGGGTTCCTGCACCCGCATGGGAGACTGGGAGGAAGCACCTGGCTCCTGGCTTCAGATCGGCGCAGCGCTGGCCGTAGCGGCCATTAGGGGAGTGAACCAATGGAAGGAAGACCTTTCTCTCAGTCTCTCTCTCTCACTGTCTAACTCTGCCTGGCAAAAAATAAAAAAAAAAAAAAGAAAAAGAAAAAAGATTTATTTTATTTATTTGAAAGACAGAGTTACAGAGAGAGGTAGAGACAGAGAGAGAGGGAGGCCTTCCACTCGCTGGTTCACTCCCCAGATGGCCACAATAGCCAGAGCTTTGCTGATCCAAAGCCAGGAGCCAGGAGCTTCTTCTGGGTCTCCCATGTTGGTATAGGGGCCCAAGGACTTGGGCCATCTTCTACTGCTTTCCCAGGCCATAGTAGAAAGCTGGATTAGAAGAGGAGCAGCTGAGATTAGAACCGGTGCCCATATGGGATGCCGGCACTTCAGGCCAGGGCTTGACCCTACTGTGCCACAGTGCCAACCCCCCCATGGTGTTTTTAAATATGCTTGAACATGATTGCTTATTTGGTATTACCAGTATATAGTATACTGTCTACAAGAAAAATCTAATAGCTGACAAGTGTCAAGAAATTGTTCCTGTACTATAATTTTTAAACTTTAAAATATCTACCACTGTTGACAACAATAAAGCATAACAACAATAATTACATTCTTGGGTGAAATGATTCTTCTACCCTTGAAGTTACTCTGTTGGTGCTATCTGGCATTGGCACATATTGATCTTAATATCTGGTCATCGATATTTGACCAAAATTTGTATTTGCCACATCTCTGCTAATGAGGTATTTAGAGAGCTCTCTCTGTTTCTTGGTAGAGAATCTAGACTTACCCTGGCTGAATATTTTTACCTTAATAGTTTTAAATCCCAACTGTTCCACTTCATAATTGATATAAATCAGCTATTCTCCCTTTCCTTGTAGATATTAGCTCTTCATGTCTATTTCACACAATTCAATATAAATTACTCACTCTGTTGTACTGTTCACTGTACTTAAGTTATCTTCTCACAGAAGACTTCTTCCTTGAGGGTGGGCACTACATTTTTTTTGTGTGGCCTATAATGTCTTGCCTAGGGATGACCATTTGATTTCCATCTACTATTTCACAATATCTACAATGGTACTGGCTTTGTGTCACAGATAAAATGTTATATTCAAATTTAAGATATTGAAGGCAAGTCACTTTCTTTGTGACTTAGTCTATTTATGATTCTGCAAAACAAGCAATAACGTCAAAACAACTTACAAGGAAAACTGTAATTAACACTTACCTGAAAGTTCGGACAAGGTTTTTAAGTTGTGTATAAATATCTGCTAATGTAATCTGAAGAGGACCCAGAAGTGCAGGCAATCTGAAAGTTAAAAAAAAAAATTCACACATAAATATATGGTTTATGTATACAAAAACTTGTTTTTGCCTGGGTCTGGGTTTTCCATAGGCAATAACAGCATTTAAATGGAAGCAAGCAATCATGATTTGAATCAAATAGTTAAGCTTGATTATGACTGATAAGAAATCATAAGGAAATATTTCATAGTAACCAACACTTCAATTTGTAGTTTATGTCTGAGTGTGAAGCACTGAAATGGAAAATCATTTTGGCTGCTGTCTATACTCTTTTTTTGTTAGTTTTGCTTTCTTGTTTACTTTCAAATTTTAGACAAAGATGAAAAGAACCCAAGTTCAGAGGAACTGCCCTCAAAATGGTCCTGGGGGTATGGTATATTACTCTCTGTAGAATCATCTTGGTGGAAGTGAAGATTAGTGTGATACTTTTAAAGAGCAATTTGACAACATATATTAACGTATTAAATGTGGCTACCTTTTGACCCAGTAGTTTTACTGTGAAAAAAAATTTATCCTAAGGAAATAATCAGGTAAACATAAGAAAGATACTTATTGTTGAAATATTTTTATTAGTGAAAAATTGGAAACAAATGTATATCAATGGATGGTTGGTTAAACAAATTATGATATATCCACTCAGTAAACTGTAATAAAATCTTTAAAGTGATGTGAATCTATTTTTCAAAATGTGAAAACCTATGATAAATGTTAAGTGAGACAATATGTATAATATTGTCCTACTTTTAATAAAAATATATATAATGCTTTTGTATGTCATATTACATATCAAACATAATCTACTCCTAGGTTTGTTTTTATAAGAGAGGGAGCCAAAGGGAATGAATATACAGATAACATATATATCACGCACACATCATGGATAAATATCAAAATATTAATAGTAGTTACTGTAGTGTGGTGAGATTACAAGTGATACTCACTTCCTTCTTTGTATCATTTTAGTACTGACTAAATCTTCTCCAATAAGTATGTAATACCTTATTTAAGAAAAATTTCTTGGGGCCAGTGCTATGGTGTAGAAGGTTAAGCCTCTACCTGCAGTGCTGGCATCCCTCATGGACGCCAGTTCTAGTCCTGGCCGTTCCACTTCTGATCCAGCTCCCTGCCAACGTGCCTGAGAAAGCTGCTGAAAATGTTCCAAGTGCCTGGGCTCCTGCCACCTATGTGGAAGACCCAGAGGAAGCTCCTGGCCAGTTCAAACCATTACAGGCATTTGGGGAGTAAACCAGTGTATGGAAGATCTCTATCTGTATCTCTGCCTTTCAAATAAATAAATAAATCTTAGGAAAAAAATTTCTTACTACTGAAGATTTAAACATGTTTCAATATAGAAAGAATAGTAATAATAACCCACAGATGTATTTTCAGAGTCAACCTCCCTGTATTGTGCTACATTTGCTTCATTTTTCTTTCCTTTCATTTTGTTACAGTAATATTTTAAAGTAAAGTAAAATAAATTCCTGAGTTCATGTCATTTGACCCCCTATTTCTATTTGTATACTAACTACGTAGGCATTTCCCTGTATAACCAAATTAACAATAGATTAACAATAGTTCCTTAATATCATCTAATACCCAGTACATACTTAATTTCCTCAAATTATTTTTAAAACCCTTTTTCTCTACACATTTGGCTATTCATGTCAGAAGTCAAAAAAGGTCTTATTTTTACAACCAACCAACCAAAAAACCCATGCCACATATTTTGTTTTGTTTTCACTGGTCTTAATGCTTATTTTTCTTTTTTTTTTCTATTTTATGCTTCCTTTTCTCTATGTTCTCCTATCACATATCAAATTCAGTTCTTGTGTCATTATCAACAATTTGGTCATCTACCACGATTCCTTTCAGTATCCTCTATTTTAGCCAAAAAGGAGGAAGAGAATTACATCAATGAAATACCTAAATGGTCTTAAATTTAAAATTGATATTTTCATTAGCTAAAAAGTATAGAAAATTATTTCCACATAATTCCTTATCTACCAAGTACATTCCACTATAGACAATCCATCCCAATTTACAAAACCTTTGTAATTAAAGTCAAGGCTGGTATCTTCTAGACCAATGAATCAGATAGGTGGTGAGTTATACTGTTTTCTAAATTACTATTTAACAGAAACAAATGTACAGTCAGGAAAACCAGATAGAAAGGCAACACTAGTAACAGATTTATTATCTACAAAGAACTTGACATACAGAGCCACTCAATAAATACTAAATGCTTATTTACAAAGCCAACCAAAAAGGATTTTAAGTGTTTAGAACAACACTTCAAGTGTTTTAAAGTAAAACCATCAAACTTCCCATTATATCAATAAGTAATTTTGTTATACTTCGACTGTTCAAAATATTATAGCTTCCAGAAAATGCTTTTCTTAAACTGTCACAATATCAAAATTTGTACATATTTACAACTCCTTAATCAATGAGTGACATATTTTTCTTTGTTTTCTGCTGTCTAAAAAAGCAAAGGAAGGTTGAAATGTTCTTGATAGCCCTCACACCTTTGGACAACTGATTTCTAAGCTCCTTTTACAGGGAAACCAAGATAGCAATTTAAAAATGTCTTTTATGACTGGGTTAATTTAAAGAACAATAATTTCCACCACAAGAAGCTTAAAGCTAAAGTGCAAAGTTGAGCTGAACAGAAACTCAAGTTGCTGAGTGTGAAAATGGTTCCATGAATACATATGCAGAATAAGTTAACAGACTGTTAAAACTGTAACAACTCTTATTCACACACGAAACTAAGGTGACACATTTACCACAAATCAGTATTTAAGTAGGTCTAGCTTTGATATTTTTTCCCTGACTTCACCGGATTATTAAGTAGGAGTGTGGTAGTTTGTTTTTCTACTCATATAATCTCAACTTTCCTCTTTATGGTGTGCAATTTGTTCTCTACAAACATAATTTCCTGGATAGAATACCTTACAAATCTAAAGTTCTCAAGTAAAGAAATTCATGTAAACTTTTTACATTATTGTTTAAAATGTCCAAAATTCAAGAATAAAATTTATAAATTATGAACTCATTAACAGCAAGTTAACTGAGAAATATTACAAAATTGGAATATTATATACTTACACTTTACTCAATTTTTCAAGCACAATGCGTTTTCTGATCTGGTTCTGGGAACTTGAGTCTACCAGTGGAAAGGTGGGATCATGCTGAATCAAATTTTTAAACAAAATAAAACATAATAAATTTACATTCCTTGATAAGTATAAAAATAAGCATTAAATATAGTTTACATCTTATTACAGTAGGAAAACACTAGATTTGAGAAGGATATGATTTAGATTTCATTATCAGCTCAGTCATTAGGCTGATGTGAACTTGCTTGAATCATTTGCCCTCTTTGGAGAGTTGGTTTCCTCATCTGTAATACTATGATATTAATAACTCCTTTATTAAGTATACAAAAGGATTCTGCAAATTGCTAACTGCTATACAACTGTAGATTTGAATATTAAAATTAAAAAAACTTTTATAACTATATTATGGGAAGTTCTGCTTCCAGAAATTTCAGACAAGACAATTCAAACACTCCCTCTGAGAACTGAAAGGGGGAAACACCGCCACATTTGTTCAAAAGCATCAGAGAGCTAACAGTAAAGATTTTGGGCTGACATTCTGCAGAAGGTAATTCTAGAGAGGAAATTGACTATTTCCAAAAGAGGCAGTTTAGATACTGAGAACCTGAGCAGAGTTTTTCCAATACACATTAGAGCTCAGGGCATGCCCAGGAGGGAGAGGTGTGAGCAACACTTCCCAAGCTGATGACCAAGTCTTGTTTAGATCCACATTTCAGGAATAAGGATGAATAGAAAACAGACTGCATCTTACTGAATCCCACGTTCAAATCCTCTTAATTCCTGTTAAGTGATTTGAGACTGAAATCAATCATGTCAGGAGCAAATATAAATCCATTCCAGAGGAAGATACACCTGTCTTTTTCCTTCAAATCTAGGAGTAGCGAGGACTCACAAAGTAGACCATACTTGTACTTCTGAACACAGTTCCTTTATTAAACTTTCCTCAAGTTACTAAATTATCATCTTTTATGATGAGACCATGTCAAATTTCTAGATCATTCTCACTCATTCTGAAAATATGAGCAAAGCTGGCACTGTCATGTAGCAGGTTAGGCTACCATCTGCAACGCCAGCATCCTGTATGGGTACCAGTTCCAGGCTCAGCTGCTCTGCTTCCAATCTAGCTCCCTGCTAATGTGCCTGGGAAAGCAGTAGAAGATGATTCTCCCCTGCACCCATGTGGTAGACCTGGAGGAAGCTCCTAACTTTGGCCTAGCCCAGCCCTGGCCATTGTAGCCATTTAGGGAGTGAATCAGCAGATGGAAGACTGATTTCTCTATCTCTGTTTCTCTCTGTTTTACTTTTTTTTTTTTTTTTCAACAGGCAGAGTGGACAGTGAGAGAGAGAGAGAGAGAGACAGAGAGAAAGGTCTTCCTTTTCCGTTGGTTCACTCCCCAATGGCTGCTGTGGCCTGCGCACCGCGCTGATCCGAAGCCAGGAGCCAGGTGCTTTTCCTGGTCTCTGGTCTCCCATGCGGGTGCAGGGCCCAAGCACCTGGGCCATCCTCCACTGCACTCCCGGGTCACAGCAGAGAGCTGGACAGGAAGAGAAGCAACCGGGAAAGAATCTGGTGCTCCAACTGGGACTAGAACACAGGTTGCCGGCGCCGCAGGTGGAGGATTAGCCTATTGAGCCACAGCACCAGCCTGTTTTATTCTTTCAAATAAATCTTAAAAAAGAGCCGGCGCCGTGGCTCAATAGGCTAATCCTCCACCTTGCGGCGCCGGCACACCGGGTTCTAGTCCCGGTTGGGGCGCCGGATTCTGTCCCGGTTGCCCCTCTTCCAGGCCAGCTCTCTGCTATGGCCAGGGAGTGCAGTGGAGGATGGCCCAGGTGCTTGGGCCCTGCACCCCATGGGAGACCAGGAAAAGCACCTGGCTCCTGGCTCCTGCCAGGATCAGCGCGGTGCGCCGGCTGCAGCGGCGGCCATTGGAGGGTGAACCAGCGGCAAAGGAAGACCTTTCTCTGTCTCTCTCTCTCACTGTCCACTCTGCCTGTCAAAAAAAAAAAAAAAAAAAATAAATAAATAAATAAATAAATCTTAAAAAAAAAAATGAGCAAAAATTCCAAGGTAAATATTGGAAGATGAAACTCAGTTTTACATAAAAAAGGCTTAATCATCTTGGATTTATTACAGAATGCAAGGTTGATTTAATAGTAAAAAATGTAACTGGGTATCAACTCATGATAACTACTAGTAAATTAGAAATAAAGAGAAATTTCATAATCAGATAAAGTGGACCTAATAAAAACTTCAACACTCATCATAGTGATAAAGTAATTAAAGGTTTTCTCCTGAGATGCAGAATGAGACCAGGAAGCCCATTGTTCTGGAGGTCTAAACTAGTGGAATAAGGCAAGAAAAAGAAATACTGGCAATAAAGATTGAGGTAGAAATAAATAAAACTATCATTCATGTAAGATATGACTGCATATGTAGTAAATACAACAGAGCTTACAGATAAGTTACAATAATTTGATTACTATAAATTATGAAATTCGCAATTTAAGCTAGTTTAATGGCTTCAAAATCAATGTACAAATAGTTTGATTTTCTATATAAAGCTTAATATAGAAAACTTAATGATAGTATATAAAAACAAAATACCTAGGAAGAAATGCAAAGAAACACATTCAAGACCTCTACACCTAAAATTATGAAATATTATTGGGCACTATTAAAGCTGTCTTAAAGGGAAGGACATCCCATGTTCCCAGGTTGATATAAAGATTTTAGTTCTCAACATTCTAAAATATGCTGTAGTGATGATTTTCCAAATCTGTGAATATACTAAAAACCACTGAACTGAAAATTTTAAATAGGTGAATCACATGGTATATTATATCTCAAAAAAGCTATTATCAAAGAAATGGCATCCCCAGGGTCCTGCACACAGACTTGTGCAATCAATGTTTTTTGAGTGATGAACAGTAGTAATACTACATGGCTTTTAATGTTCAGATTCATAGAGTCTATTAATGGAATGGTTTGTACATACTTACCAGTTCTTTGTATGAGAACTGGCACTTCTAAAAGTGTGTTCTGTTTGGCAGTTAAATAACTCTCTTGCCAACTTTCTTTTTTCTTGTCATATATGTAACAAATTCGTTCTTCACACTGTCTGAATTATTACCTTTTGAATTAATAGGGGCTCAATTAAGGAGGTTTAACTAAATTTCAGATAACAATATTCACTATTATGCTGCCCACGAACAGATTAAACTAGTCCCCAAGATTCAAAGGTTATAAATAGCTTTTGAGTTCTTCAAGTGAGAGACCTAAAAGAAAAGATGGTGCCACTACTGTAATTAGTCTTCAGGTACAAAACAAAACAACAAAAATCTGCAAAGGATGAATCAAAACCAGAAACTGTAAATGCCTTCTGGAGGAATTTATGGAGTGACGTCATGAATTATTTTAAAGGCTCCCAGATACTGAACAGAGAATTTAAGAAATCATTCATTCAATAAGACAAGTTGGTGGAAAAGGATTTGTTCAAATGCTTGATAAAGAAGTGGAAAAATATACTGAAAGCCATTAAGAAATGTTCACTTCCCAAATGCTGGCAATAGCCAGGGTTAGACCAGGCCAAAGCCAGGAGCCCAAACTCCATTTGGATCTCTCATGTGGGTGGCAGGGACCTAAGCACTTGAGACATCATTATCTTCTGCCTCCCAGGATCATTAGCTGGATGCTAGATCAGATGCAGAGGAGACTACACCCAACTGGCACGCTGATACAGGATCAGAGCATCCCAAGCAGCTGCCTAACCCTATATGCCACAACAATTACCCAAGAGATGACATTATAAACCAAAAGATAGACTGGCTAGAGAAATTTTCTGAAAATTTAATAATTAACTCTTTGATAGTCTTACTCCTGCTCCAAGAGTTGCTTTGCAGAGTTTTCTAACTGTTAGCAGCTTGGACCAATTCATCAAGACATACCTCTTCTGAATCTTCTGATTTGGTGGTTTCTTCATTCAAAACATATCGTCCTCTAAAAAACTCTCTGATCCTTAGATTTAACGTTTCGGTTTCTTTTTTCAAGTTCTCATAACTTGGCAGTGGTTTAATGGCTGTCTCTGAACCTGTAAAAGGTAGAGACTCATCCAGGCTGTTCTGAGATTCTCTCAAAGCAGGAGAAAGACTATCTGGGTCAGAGTTGATGTCATCTTCATCAAGTTCATTAACCAGAGATGCTGAAGAGGGCTTCAGACACACAGAAGCATAATTCTGACCATACAAAAACCTCAAAGTTTCTTCTGTCTTCCACTCGATCAAAGTCTCCTTCAGGACTTTAAGTAAATTTGTCTTTGCAATTTCAGGACACACCTGCACTGAGCTAGAAACTTGATTTGGTCTGGCAAATTTCCTCTTGAAATGCTCAGCACTTTTCTTACTTATGCCCACTAGAGTTATTTCCGATGCAGTGTATTTACTGTCAGAATTTTCTACAGCTTTTAGTTCTTCTTGCAAAGGACTATTTGAAGAAATCTGGGTATTTACTCTCTGTAAAGGAAGTTCACAAGCAGCAGCTGTCTCCTGACTATCTAATCTGCAATTGCCTAACTGCTCAGTGATATCTTCTATCGTCTGGTCTGTGTCTATGTGTTTGGAGTCTGCTTTTCGACCAGCTTTCTTTTTCATTATGCTTTTTTTGTGCAGCTGAGGCCTTGCACACATTTCATCTGGTCTGTTTCGTGGTAGAATAGAGGAAACAAAGTCTTGCTCATTATCACTGGCACTGTCACTACAAGTGCTAGACGAACCAGAGTCATACTGCTTTTCAAAATGCCCAGGATTATCAATATCTGATGTTTTGATGGCTTTACTGCACAACTGTACTTCTTCTCCAGAATCGCCACTGTAGAAGGAAAGGTAAAGAGTAAGTACAACAGGAAAGCAAAGTGTCCCAGAGCATTTCAGACTTGTAACTTTCAAGGTAGACATTTTTATTCCTTAGGCATGGCCTTATTTATAGATAGGCTCTAACGTATAGGTATCAGAGGTTGTAGTTTCTCTATATCTAATAGTCACTTGATAGACTTCTTCCATTTTCTTTCCTTTTGTCTTCCTTCCTAATTATTTTTAAATCGTTAAAGGAGTACACACAGCAAGAAAAAAAATCCTTTGATAATTAAGACTTTTTGGGGATTTTTTTGTTGTTGTTTCTATATCCGATTTATATAGCCTTTAACAAAGTTTTTATTTTGGGGCCAGCGCCACGGCTCAATAGGCTAATCTGCCACCTGTGGCGCCAGCACACCGGGTACTAGTCCCGGTCGGGGCGCCAGATTCTGTCCCGGTTGCCCCTCTTCCAGGCCAGCTCTCTGCTGTGGCCCGGGAGTGCAGTGGAGGATGGCCCAAGTGCTTGGGCCCTGTGCCCGCATGGGAGACCAGGAGAAGCACCTGGCTCCTGGCTTCGGATCAGCGTGGTGCTGGATGGTTGGAGGGTGAACCAACGGCAAAGGAAGACCTTTCTCTCTGTTTCTCTCTCTCACTGTCCACTCTGCCTGTCAAAAAAAAGTTTTTATTTTGGGGCCAGCGCTGTGGCATAGGTTAATCCTCTGCCTGCAGTGCCAGCATCCCATATGGGTGCCGGTTCTAGTCCCGGCTGTCCTCTTCCGATCCAGCTCTCTGGTATGGCCTGGGAAAGCAGAAGATGGCCTAAATGCTTGGGCCCCTGCACGCACATGGGAGACCTGGAAGAAGCTCCAGGCTCCTGGCTTTGGATTGGCCCAGCTCTGGCCGTTGCAGCCATGTGAGGAGTAAACCAGCAGATGGAAGACCTCTCTCTCTCTCCTCACTATCTCTAACTACCTCTCAAATAAATAATAAATAAAATCTTTTTTAACAAGTTCTTATTTTAAAAATTTTATTACTTGTTTTTCAAAAGGATAAATTACAAGAACATTATTTAATTTTGAAAAATCAAAAAAGAGATGGATAAACAGTTTCCAATTCTGGTTGGTCATCACCTAGAAAATTCCACAGAATAAAAAATGTAAGTTAACTGCAGAAAATGAAGTTGACAAATCAACATTTTCTTTTTTTTTTTTCTTTTTTTTTTTTTTTTTTGACAGGCAGAGTGGACAGTGAGAGAGAGAGACAGAGAGAAAGGTCTTCCTTTTGCCGTTGGTTCACCCTCCAATGGCCGCCGCGGCCGGCGCGCTGTGGCCGGCGCACCGCGCTGATCCGATGGCAGGAGCCAGGAGCCAGGTGCTTTTCCCGGTCTCCCATGGGGTGCAGGGCCCAAGCACCTGGGCCATCCTCCACTGCACTCCCTGGCCACAGCAGAGGGCTGGCCTGGAAGAGGGGCAACCGGGACAGAATCTGGCGCCCCAACCGGGACTAGAACCCGGTGTGCCAGCGCCGCTAGGCGGAGGATTAGCCTAGTGAGCCGCGGCGCCGGCTGACAAATCAACATTTTCAAACAGAAGATATTTAAGTTTGAAAATCCAGGGTTATAACAAGATGCTAACAATAAAATACAGTTGTCCATATGACTATGTCTTTCAATTTTCTGATTAGTTCTGAATAAGTATTATGAAAGAGAGAAGGGAAAGAGTAGCTTTGCTAATTTAAACTTGAGACAAACAAGGAGAGGTGAACAGTTTTTCTCAAGTGCACATAAAAGAAAAGAACAACACTCTGAATGAGAATGGAAGAAAGAGGAAAAGTTTGTTCAGTATTTGATAGCATTCTTTATTAGAATCTTTATAGCCATGGGACTGTCTTTTGGATAAGAAAAGGGTAAGTTAAAAAAATTAGAATTAAACTTTCATACATTTCATATTTTCTCTTGGTATTTTTTTCTGGTTCTTTTTTTTCTACTTTTTTGTTTTTAAAGTTTTTTCTTGGAATTTTAAGGAAATTTTATTTTTTCTATAAATTGAAGATATACATAAAAAAAATCTCTTACTCAATTCTATGTAACTAACATAGTGATTAATAACCAGGAAGGTTAATCTCAGAGTTCATGATGTGTCTTGAGAGATGGCCATGACTGGGAAGCAATAGCATAAGCAGAGTTAAAAAAAAAATCACAATTTGGGGATTTATATTAAAGTTTTAGAAACTCTTTCAAATAATTAAATAACAGACAGATTAATATCCTGAAATCCTATAAAATAAGATCATAAAAACCTTTCAACAAATGTAACTGGCAAAATCCAGCAGACAAAGAAAAATAGTATCTGAAATAGAGGCTGTGTTTGTGTAAGTTTGTGTCATATTTCAACAGGTTCAATTAGACTTCCTTAGTAGGAACAGCTGTACAATAAATCATACAGATCAAACACATCATCTTACCACCACAAAAGAAAAAGCTGGACAGGTCAAATATTTCTTTATGTGGGCTAGAATGGGACACCTACATAATGTAGCAGCACAATAAGTCCAAGAGCTCCTACCACCTGGTACACTCCTAATGTTCCTATTAACATGAGTACTACACAGAAGGTAAGTGATACTGATTCAGTCATACCTTTGTCCTTCCTTTAGCAGCTGAAAATCGGGATGGCTGTGACAAAAACACAGAAATAGAAAATTAAATTCAACTAACATGCCAAACACGGTTAGGTGTTCACTGTAACTACACTGGGTCAAAAATACAATTAAAAGGGAACAGTTCATAAAAAGATTATTTCCTCTAAGAAAAAAATTCAAGGACAAAATACCGTGAAACTCACTGACGAGAAATCTGGATTAGTCTCTTATCTGAAATTAACTCATTTTCAGGACTAAGTTCACATTCTATTCACCTAATGTTTTCTTTGACTAACAATGAAAGCAAATCACTCCCTTCTCTAAATTCAGACATTATGATTGTCTATACAATTGATCTGATTGATCATGTCCTCCTTTATGGCCTGCTACCAGAACTATTATCTACACATTTTATTTTTCTTACATTTAAATCTGGTTTCTTAACTAGATGATAAGCTCTTTGAGAGCAGAAATTATGTTTGTAATTCTCTTGTAGTTCCCTTATATGACCAATGAGAGACTTTTTGCCTCAATTTCTGAGAAAGCAGTCATAGTATAGAATAGAAGTGAGCAATGTAGAGCAAGTAATTTAATTTAATTATAGAAAGAATTCTGTTATGCAATACCAGAAACCACATTTAGCCACCACAGATATTTAGAAGGGGGAGAAAAATCTCTTTTCAAAGCACAATATAAAGCAGAATAAACATAATAGTAAATGAATTCACAGGACAGGAGAACTCTGTAAAATACTTCTGAAATAACCAAAAAAAATTGTGTCTTCTTAAAGAACTGAAGAAAAGGAGCTGGTAGGCTCCATACATAAAGAAAGGGTAAGGAAACAGAAATACTAATTTCTTGTTAAACTGTACACATGTTGAATATTGCATGGTACCCCATAAAAATGTACAAGCACTACATGTTAATTTTTTTTTAAAGGGGCCAGCATGTGGTGCAGCAGGTTAAGCCACAGCTTGTGACACTGGCATTCCATATTAGAGCTCCAGTTTGAGACCCAGGTGCTCTGATTCCAATCTAGCTCCCTGCTAACGCACCTGGGAAAACACTGAACAATGGCCCCAGTGCTTGGGCTCCTATCACCTATGTGGGAGATCTGGATGGAGTTCCAGGTTCCTGGGTATGGCCTCACCCAGCCTCACCATGCAGCCATTTAAGGAGTGAACCAGCTGATGGAAGATCTCTCTCTCTCTGCTTCTCTCTATATATCACTCTTCTCTCAAATAAACAAGTCTTTCAAAAAAAGAAAAGAAAAAAAAAAAAAAGAGGCAGTTATTTGGCCTACTGGTTAAGGCTGCCACATCAGAGTGCCTGGGTTTGAGTACTGGCTGTCTCTAATTCCAGCCTCCTCTTAACACGCATCCTGGGGGGTGGCCAGGTAGGGCAAGTGGTCCTTGCCACCTACATGGGAGACTTAGAATGGGTTCCTGGCTCCTAGCTTTGGCCTGGCCTAGCCCCAGCTGTTGCAGGCGTTAGGGAAGTGAACTAGATGGGAGCTCTGTCTCTCTGCTTTTCAAATACATAATAAAAACAAAACAAAAATGTACCTTCTACAGATTGTAAAATGGATTAAACAAAAAGAAATATAAGGAACTAAATACACATTAAAGAGAAGCTAAGGCATAAATTATGGGATCACATATACCACTTGAAGGCCAAAATAAGGATACACTGAAGGTCATAATTTTACAGAACACTGTCAATTGAAAAAGTCAAGCTCAATAGATAGATGGAAGCAGAATTCATTTGAATTATGACATTTCAAGGCCGCCAGTCAAGAATGTTAGTCACAAGTATTTTTTCTGTATAATTAATCATCCCAGCATCAACTATGTAAGTAGTGTCTGGATAATATATCTTCCCTTAGTTTAGTTTCAAGTGTAGAAGGCACTGCAGAGAATAGGCTCTCTTGCTAATCCTTCCTTAAGTTATGGGAGACACTGTTAACTGATTAAGGGATTCATTCCCATTAAATTTCTTCTTGTCACCACACATTAGAGACATACAGAATGAAGTCAATATTGGCCATCCTTGCTCTAGTGCAGGGATGGGGAATGTTTTTTTTTTTTTTTTTTCCCAGCCAAGGGCCATTTGGATATTTATAACACTATTTGTGGGCAATACAAAATTATCAACTTAAAAATTAGCATGCTCCAGATTTACTGAATTTCCAGTCCCACCTGCAGTCGCCTTGGCAGGCCTTATACAGCCCATGGGCTGATGTTCCCCACCCCTGTTCTAGAGATATGTCTGCAGTTCAGGAATCCCCCAAACTAAAAATAAATAATTTATGCCAATTTTAGAAATTTACCTTTTTTCTGCCCCCCTTAATACCTTAGCCAAATTAGGCAAAGCCTTTTCCTAGCCTCTCAATTATCCTGTTTACCTTACTGCTTTCCACTCACAAAATTTCTAATTACAGAAGTTATTGCTGCTTAAAAAAAAAAAAAAAAGATACTACTTGAATGGTGACTAGCTTTGACTACTCCAAAGGATATTTTAACTCCCATTAAGGTTTTGTTTTGTTTGAAAGGCAGCGTTACAGAGAGAGAGGTCTTTCATCTGCTGGTTCACTCCCTAAATGGCCATAATGCCCAGGGCTGGGGCAGGCGAAAGCCAGATGCCAGAAGCTTCTTTCAGGTCTCCCATGTGGGTTCGGGGGTCCAAGGACTTGGGCCATTTTCTACTGCTTTCCCAGGCCATAGCAGAGAGCTGGATCGGAAGAGGAGCAAGCAATGACTTAATCCACTATGCCACAATGCACTAGCCCCTTATTAAGGTTTTTAGGCTTAAATAATTAGCTAACATTTACAACAGAGTGTTCGTTCTATTTTCCACTGACTACTTCCTCCACTTCGACTTCTAGTTCTGTCACTTTTATCCTACATCCTCATCCCATTCTTCCTGGATAAAATTAAGGTTCAGCACTATGCAGTAATTTGAATTTGGTCCTATAACAGGGTCTGAGCATCACTGGGGGAAAGAAAATTTGCATAGATAGTGGTGATTTTCAATTGGACTCTTACATTTAATGGCTAACTTGCAAATGCAGAATACATTCCATCATTCAACAAATTCCCTTAAAAATCAAATTCTGTGCGTGTGTGTGTGTGTTTTATATATATATATATATATATATCGACTATGTTGGGCACACTAAGTAATAGAAAGAATAGGTTCAGATTCTTAGTATGTTAAAATTTAGTAGATGAAAAAGTGTGTTCTAAAACCTTTTCAAGTATTAATCTATATAAGAATAAGCTAGCTACTATTATCATCCTAACATTAGAGATAAGGATACTGAGTACAGAGAGAATAAGAAATTTGCCCCAAATCACATAGCTAGTAAATGGTGAAGGCAGGAGTCAAATTCAGAAAACACTGCTCACAGTAGTAATTATACTCTTGCATCATATAATTCAAGAGAATAAATGTGTTAAGTACCCTGAGAAATACATGAGCTGCTACAGAAAATCAGAGAAGACTTCCTGCTGAGCCAATCAAAAAAAGTTTCAGAGAGGAGTCATCAGTTGGGCTTTTAAAGACATAAATTCCTTTGCGGCGCTGGCACACCGGGTTCTACTCCAGGTCAGGGCACCAGATTCTGTCCTGGTTGCCCCTCTTCCAGTGCAGCTCTCTGCTGTGGCCAGGGAAGTGCAGTGGAGGATGGCCCAAGTCCTTGGGCCCTGCACCCCGTGGGAGACCAGGATAAGTACCTGGCTCCTGCCATCAGATCAGCGCGGTGCGCCGGCCGCAGCGCGCCGGCCGCAGCACGCCGGCCACGGCGGCCATTGGAGGGTGAACCAACAGCAAAGGAAGACCTTTCTCTCTGTCTCTCTCACTGTCCACTCTGCCTGTCAAAAAATAAAAAAATTAAAAAAAAAAAAGACAAATTTGTATATAAAGGCATTTGAAGCTAATACTATTAATCTCACTCTGGAGCGTCACATCACAAACCTTCCCCCCTTTCTCTTTTAAAACATGTAACAATGCATAAATCCACCCTACCTCTCAAAAAAAAGACTCTGCCTGCCAAGCATTAAGCCCTTCCCCGTTTCAATGTAAACTTTCTTTAAACAAGACTGTACTCATCATTTTCAATTTCATATCTCCTGTTCAGCCACAAACCCTCAGTCTCCTGGAATCTGAACCCATAACTTCCCTGAATGTTTTTGGTAAGATCACCAAAAACCGTATGACTCTAAATCTAAGGGATATTTTTATTGGTTTTATTTTTCAATTTGAGGAGGAAAGGATCAGGATAAAAGGTGATCTTAAAGGAGGAAGAAAAGGAATGAATCATAAAGCAAGGCCCTGGAGAGAAAACAGAATCAGTAACACAGAGGAGGGTACTCTATGCATATGGTTATGATAAGACAGAGAAAAAGAGTGCACACGAAGAAAATAAAGTTGAAGGCGATTCTGTTGGATGCTTTCAATGGCTTCAGTAAAGTGGTAGGTGAAATCAGTCTACTGTGGGTCAGGGTCACGGGCTAATGAGAACAGAAAAGGTTTGTATATATCAGATCAGCAACAAGGAACAAAGGAAAAAAGAGAGCACACAGCTGCCAACAGAGCCAAAAGCAGGCAGAGTGCAAGCTTTGGTGACAGACTTGGAATAAAATCTCAAATACACACACACACACACACACAAACACAAACACAGTTACTTCACAAATTTTTTGAAAACCTGAATTGGAAGATGTTTCTTTTGGTGTAAAAATATTGAAATCCATCAGTTTTTCCTAATACACATTTCCATGAGCTTTTTGAAGATACTAGACATAATCAGTGTCCTGGACTGAGTCATCACTCCCATCTGAGCCTTAGCTTCACCATCAGGAAAATGAGTAACATTATATTTCCCTAGGAATGCTTTGAGAACTGAATTAAATGAAACTGAAATGTTAATGGTCTTAGATGAGAACTTTTCGAATAACATTGAGAAACTTAAGCACAGGAATAAAAGGTTGGCTAGAGGTTGGGAAAGTGGGCATGGCAGAAAGTTAAGGGAGA